CAAGGAACGTGGTTAACTTTGTTTATTCTTTAACTTTTCGGCTCACTACTGAACGAAGGTTACCTTACTACACATACTGTCAACAAACGTTTTAGAACTAAAACCTGGGGCTGGGCATGGTCTAGTGATTAGCACGCCCGGCTGCGAATCAGAAGATCCGAGGTTCAAGTCGCAGCATGCCACTGGACACGCTTCGAACTTTGCTTTGAGGGTGTTATAATTGTGGCAGTCAGTTCCACTATCCGGTTAAGAGTACCGTGTAAGCGGTGAGTGCTGTTGATTGGTTGCTCTCTCTCTCAACCCAGCAATTATAAAGTAGGAATGGCTATATCTGGACCTTTGGGACCTCAAGTCTGGTGCGAACTGAGAGTATCACTGGAATCTGGCTAAATTCAAAGCCCACTTTTATTGCTTCATAAACTCGATTATCCAGTTTTAAAGAAGGAACTTTATAAAAATAGATTTAGAAACACAAACATTTACTGTCTATTTCAGAGTGTGTAAAACTTGTATTTAAATGTACACAAAAAGAAAAAAAATTGTTATATTACTGTATTATCTGAACGCTGCCTTACGCCACTACAGAATGTTTGTTATTGCGGGACGTTTCCAGCTGATTCAATAAGCACACAGGTATAGACTGGAGACAAATGATGTTGTTGAGATAAACATAAATTTGTCTTATAATAATGATGTTTTAATACTGTTGACTTATTAACAAATCACGAGGAGTTGTACTTAAGTAGTAAAATTAAACAAGGATTATAATATAGAGAAATTATTAAAATAATGAAATAACAGATGTTAACTTCCTAAAGTTACCAACAGAGTCCCACCGACTGTTTTTCAGATAGATATTTATAAAATATTTATACACTAAATTGCATGCAAGTCCATGACTTTGTTGCTTACAAGGTACTCTAATAACATATGTAAAACAAAAAAATACAAACAAAGATACCCCCAGGATTGTAATTATTCCCACTGAGTACTGCTGGAGTCACTTGTGTTTTTGCACACGATACACTTCTTTAAACTGAGTATATAATTAGGCAAAATCACACAATCGCTCAGTATGGTTGCACTATATGGAAACTGTACAAAAACAAGTCGATTATATGAGGATTAAAATGTGCTCTGTAACATCGTCCACAGTTCACAGAAGTTCAAACGGCATTTTCTTATATCTTGTATATATCTTATTCTATGTGGTCTGTTTCGCTTTACATTATTGACGGATTACGTCATAAACATTCCCGCTCTCCCCTCTTCTGTATGTGGATTTATTGGAGTCCTGCTATCATTGCCCTTTTTAACCACGTAAATTAACATAATCTTCCTGTTTGACCTCTTGTTCCTTGGGGCGTTAGTTTTTGTTATGTTAATCTACTTTTGCATTTCCCAGGATCGGACCTGGTACCTGTCATATACCAAGTGACGTTCTACCATAGGATCCAACGTCTTAACCTGTTAGCCATTGTTTGGCTCAGAATACGTGACTCTGACGTGTTTTCCAGTTCGATATTTCTTCAGAACTTCTAAATTCGTGATTTTTCTCTGAAAAATTAGTAATTCATGACTTTTCTTAAGATCACCGTGAGGTCTCAAATACAGTAAATTAAATATAAACCTTTAAAAATATTGCTAATAAATTTATAAACTGGACCAACAAAATCATTCTGTGGTATCACAAAACTTTTTTCTTTTGCTTTCGGTTTATATTCAGGGCAGTACATGTGATTATTTAAATTTCGAATGATCTATGTTTTGTAAAATCACTTTTTTGAAAACATCATTCCAAAAGATTTTATATTCCGATTGGTCTATCTTGCTAAAGTAAACTTCGTTTCAACTGAACTTTTGGTGGGGGGGGGGATGTAGAAATTTGTTATGGTAGACCCTATGAAACGTTGTGTAAGTGTATACAAGTAGCATATACCAAATGTTAGATCAAGGGGTGGCCAGTAACTACCTTCAGTTAAGAGAAGCGAAAAGCTGAGGCAGCAGATTGCCTAGTTTTTTTTTATACTGCTTTTGTTGGCTTTATAAACATTATATTAACAATCTGGTGATTATTTTCTTACTGATATTATATCTGTTGTAAATGCATTCCCGATGCCTAGTCGCACGGTCGAGTGCCCCAAATCCCTGAAGAAGAAAAAAAGAAGGTTTATTGATAAGACCAGAAATGAGAATGCTGAGATGGCTGTTGGGAGTGTTGCTGAAAGAGAAGAGAGCGAACAAGGAAACTAAGGAAATGACAGGAGTCTGTGGAATAGAAGAAAAGGCAAGAGGTGGTTTGGTCACATGAAGTGAAAAGAAGAACAAGCAATAAGGAGAGCACAAGAGCCACTAGTGGCCGGCAGGAGAGGACAGGGAAGGACAGTATAGCGTTGGAAGACATGAACGAGAACGAAATTGCAGAATACCTGGAAATGAACAGAAATCATTGGAGGAGAGCAACACGTGACGGACGGTGACTCCTGCTAAAGGGAAAAGCCGAAGAAGAAGATTATATATCTGTTGTAACAATAGAGACTCTCCCTCAGTACTCTACTCAAAACTAGAAGCTACCAGCTATCATTAAAGAGAAGAGCACCAAATCTGGCCCGGCATGGCCAGGTGGTTAGGGCACTCGACTCGCATTTTGAGGGTCGCGGGTTCGAATCCCCGTCACACCAAACATGCTTGTCCTTTCAGCCGTGGGGGCGTTATAATGTAACGGTCAATCCCACTATTCGTTGTTAAAAGAGTAGCCCAAGAGTTGGCGGTGGGTGGTGATGACTAGCTGCCTTCCTTCTCGTCTTACACTGCTAAATTAGGGATGGCTAGCGTAAAATTCAAAAACAAACAAACAATTATTTTTCTTCTGCATATGTACAAAAAATTAACTGAAAGGCAATAGGTTTGGCACTATTTATTTTGTAAATTTTAAAACACGGTAGGGTAGTTACTTATATCATTTATAATTATAACCGATTTTTAAAACAATAAAAGTATTTTTAGTATAATCAGAAAAATTTAAACTAACTTATCAAAAATTGTTATGATGTGAATGCCTTTTAGAAGCTGGCGAAGCGTGATATAATTAATTATATTTGTCTTAAGATATTATGTTATGCCAATTATATTTTTTAACAATGGATATGACGAATATAGATTGATTGGAATACTATTATTATATACTATTCTAATTCTTGAAAACCCTTAAAGGACGAAATTAGGAATGTAGTGTAGGCTATCTTTTAAATATTTTAATAAAGAAGTTTCGACATGACATAATTATGAAGTGTGTGATGCCTAGAAATTTCGTGACTTGACAGGACGTCTCGAATTTTCGTGAGGTTTGGGGAAAACAAAAAATAGTGTACAAAACACCAAGGTGTGTTAATCGGTGTGTTAGAGAATTAAGCACAATGAGTAATCAGTTGGTTAGTCAAATAGTGAGTTAGTTAGTTAGCCAGTTCAGTGCTATACATTTTTGGCGAGTTTATACGATAGAAAATTTAACAAGTATTTGTGAATTGGGTATTAAGAACGAACGTACCCTGTAAAATGTTATCAAAGAAATATATAAATCGTTACAAATAAGTGGTGTGCACTTTGCATTATTTTTCAAGAATAAAAAAAATAACCCACCCAGTGATAGAAACAGTTACAACATTATAATTATGCAGCTTTTTCCTGTCTTACAATATTTTATTTTGTGATGGGATCATGAAATGCCTATTTATCAAAGAAGACTTAGAGATCCTTTCAAAACTTCATTTTAGCGTGCAAACTTATTGATATATATATTGAAATATTTATATTCAGTAAAAGCGAACTAATTTCTTAACATCCTTTAGACTTTCTAGATATTTCTTGTTTTCTTATTTTTCTCAAACAAGGATGGAAAGAAACCATGCCCTAATCCTTTCAACACGCTAAGAACGTGGCGGAGTTGACTTAACAATTCCATGATTTAGATGTCTTGAAGGAATAATCTCAGTATTCGAAACAAAATGAAGATCCTGACTTCAAGCTTTATTCCTTCACACATATCCAACTATTAGACCATTTTCCTCACCAAAAAAAAAGGGGGGGGGGGGCTTTGAGTAAAGGATTAGAAACATAGTAACCCGCATCATTTGATAGGAAGGAAACTACGGACACAGCACGAGGGAATGACCAGATTTATGGGTGATGTGTTCGAAGATGGTGAATGGGTTTGTGATTGAGTGAACCAATGAATAGGCGAGAGGTTAAGTAGTGGTGAGTGAGTTAGTTCTTGAATTAAATTGCAATTTATTTAATTGACCGAATGATGCTGAAGCAAGTTGATGGAGGGTTAAATCAACGTTTCTGTGGATATAAACTCTAATAGTAAAAAAAAATACTTGGATAATCCCACTTCATTCAGTGAAAACTGTCTCAGCATTGGGGTCCCTAGCACGTTTACGAGATCGAAGACAAAGACGTTTTTTTAAATAAACTCCATAAAGCAGATTCATGGATATAATGTATGTTGAATGATATCATTGGTTTTCACAAATTTCATACAGGGGTTACGAAAAAACGACCATATGGAAATATAGTTATCTAAATGTTTTAGACCACAAAATATTCTAGAAGAAAAAAAAATACTATATACTGTATTTTTTGGCAAAATCGACAATAGTTCATTCTTCCATTTTACTAAATAAAGAAAAGGAAAATATTAACTTTGTATACACAGTAACAATTTGTAAAGAAAAGTTTTAATCTATTCACTTAGAAAACAAAATCAAAAAGTAGTTGGTCGTCATATTATTTTCAACAGTGATACTTCCAATTCATCTTATTAGATTTCTATAGTGACTTAGCCTTTTTTAAACATTATTTACACGTTTCCTTCTTTCTTGGCTTGTTTGGTTTTACATTCTTTAAAAGTTCTTAACTCTCATAATTCTCTGACTAAATCTTTACGAAAACTTAAAAGTAATTTTGAAGCAAAAACATAGTTTTCTTTCTCTTCATAGAAAAATGTGGACGACACATTCTGTTCCCGAGAGACTAAAGATAGCAGCACCAGCACCAGCGTGGGGACTTTGATAGAACCAGAATGTTTGGGACCATGCGAACCAGGTACCAGCGTAATATTGGAAGGCATTGTTTGGCAGGAAACAGACGGAGGTATGGTGACTCTTAGACGTTAAATAACGATACCAGTTCAAGACCGTCAGTGTAATTTGATATATTATGTATGAATTAATCTTATGATCAATGAATTGAGTTTTTTTAAACAAACTTATATTGAATTTAAATATAATTATTTGTGTTATTAAATTTATTGCAGAGCTTTCTTTCTGTGCTAGACCAAGAAAAATGAGCCTAATAGTCTTCATATTTGGAATATAAGTAGAATACATTAAAGGTTTGAGTATCTTTAATTAATATGATCTTTATTTCGATTGAATTTGCCTGAACGTTTCGTCATTGAAGATGCTTTAGACTTCATATTGAGAACTTCCTTCGCAACACCAGGAGGAAAAGAACTACATTCAGACAGTTTTAATCCTGACAAAGACTATATCATTGAAAGCTACTCAAATCAAAAATTAAGATGGCTCGTCATTAAAATATTTTGTAGAACTGATCCTCATGTTGAGAGTTTTTGAAAATCTTAAAAATAAACCAAAATATCATCACCAGTAAAGCTTTGTGGCAGTTTAAGTTTATATGAAAGCCATGTCATCTAAATCTACTTAAAACAAAAAAACTTTACGTAGTGAGTACATTTTTTACTCCCCTGTTCATAGTCCTCGTTTTATTTACTCCTTGTAGGAGTACTTGTGGTTAACGTAACGTGGAGAGGGAAGAGCTACGTTGGGACGTTACTAGACTGTACCAAACATGATTGGGATCCACCAAGATTTTGTGAATCTCCTACCAGTGATATTGATACCAAACCTACAAAAGGGCGAGGAAAAAGGGGAAGAGGGTCTTCAAATTCATCTGGTGAAGTACAATATTCAGACACAAGAACAGTTCAAAGTAAACTTCGAAATGGCAAAGGGCGCAGGAATGCAGTTATTACTAATGCTTCTAGATTCACTGTGCCTAGTAATCCAGTGAAGAGTGTTAGTGGCGCAACTGGGAGCGGTAAAAAGAAAGGAAGGTCTTCTGATACAGAGACCATTTCATCGCCAAATGAAGCCAAGTATGTTAAGAAAAGCCGATCTCAGATGCGAAGCACTTCTTTACTTAGTACTACGTTGAATCTTAATACTGAGATATCTCAACCAAGTTCCCCGGAATTTATTGAGTGTCCCGAACCCAATTGTAACAAGAAGTACAAGCATATCAATGGTCTAAGATACCATCAGTCACATGCCCATAACAGTTCAGATTCGGGTAAGGTAGACGAAGAAGGTAGAGAGCAAACTAAAGATGTTATGAACAATTCTGATAACAATGAAAGTTTGCAAGAACCTTCAAGTGTACCACCTAGTCCATCTCCATCTTTACGAAGTTCTGCTTCACCTAGTCCTCTTTGTACAAGGGGTGAAAAACAGGGTGAATCTTCATTAGCTTCTTCTGGTTTGCGAAATGAAGACTTATCCACATTTAAACCTCTTGCTTCAGGTTTAGAATTAAGTGAATCTCTTGAAGCGAGCAAGAGTAGTCCCATTATTCAGTTTGCTTCTGCTCCCAGTTTGTCAAGCTCCTCAACTGAAAAACCAAATTTAGTGCCTTCAGAGTCAGTTGGGCAGTCACATGTCTCAACAGAATCCCCAGTATCATATATACCAGTCACATTCAGCCAATCTGTAGAACCAGAAATTCAAAATACGGTTTCGTATTCTATTTCAAAGACTTTCTCTCAGGTATTGGGCAATATTTCTGTATCTAATGATCCACCTAGTACATTAAATACCACAGCAAACACGTCAATTCCTTCTGTAACCGTCAGCATTCCAACTTCTCAATTTTTATCATTTGGACAAGGTCAGAGCCAGCCGAATTTATTAGCTACAACAAAAGCAGTGATAACCCCTAATATATCAGTATCATTATCCACTGTCCAGCAAATATCACCAACAAGTAATTTAAACACAGTAGCATCTTTAACCTCAGCTGGAGTTCCAGCATCTTTCACATCAGAAAAGAATAAGTCAAAACAGGAAAAACTAGAAAAGACAAAGTTGAAGTCTTCGACCATTAGACCAATTGTACCAGCCCCTATTGGTCAAATAATAACCACAGCAACGAGTACCCCTATTACTCATCCAACATATGGTCATAATGGACATTCAATGGTTACCTCATCTTTAAAGCCAATTCAACCAAAACCTACTATTCTTGGTGAACCAACAACAATAAATCCAGTTTTGGAAGGTTTGAAGAAAGAAAAAAATAGACATAAGAGAAAAAGCAAAGAAAAGGAAAAGGATAAAAAAATAACTTCAGTTGGTAACTCTGACAAGAAACCTCTCGATGGTGTAAAACCTTCTTTAGTTCATTCCTTTCCAATTAAACACCTACAAAATATGAATTTAAACCCTATCAGTAGAACTAGTAAAGAACACCAAGAACTAGTAACGACAAATACAGGGGTTAAGATTCCCTGCGAACTTCATCTAGAAATAAACACCATTGATTCCAGTAATATTAGCGAGAATGTTCAAAGCCCAGCATACTCTGACATTTCTGATGATAATGAAACAGCTCCTGTCCTGGAATCAGAAATGCAAGCTGCAAAGTCTAAAGAGGACAAAGCCACAGACCCTGAAAATCAGGCTACACCAACAAAATTAAGTCCTTATGGTATGTTTTCTTACTACAGTCCTCCTCCCTATCTAATTCCTGCTGCACCTCCACCAGTATCTGTATCATTACCTTGTCCTGAGAAACCTGATATTGGCAAAAACTTTGCAATTGACAAAAATAAGGAAAATAAAACGAGGCCAGAGAAATCTCTGAATTCTAGCAAAGAAAAAGAAAGTATCTCTCATGAATTTATTGAACAGAAAATTGCACGTGAAGAACACATTAAATCATCAAGTACGTCAACAATGGATGACAGTTACGGCGCTGCTACATTACAACACACGTATCCATATTCATACAGTTTTATTCCAGGTTATCCTTGTGGTGTGGATCCATCCTACCATATGCGTTTGTTAGCCACTGATCCACATTACAAACAACAATGTGAACGATACATTAAAGACAAAGGAAAGCTTCTGCAAGACCACTCAGAAAGACAAGAGCTCCATAACATTTCAAAAGATAATCGATGCATTGATGGAAAAGACAGAAACATTTCCACTGAGAAAATTTCTCCAATTAATCCAGTAGCAGGAATAGACTGTGCTTCAGATCTTACTCTTAATAAAAAAACATCTCTTAACGCTTCAGCACATCATCACAAAGAACGAGGAAGAGATCATCAAAATTCTGGATCTGTAAACACAAGGATAGAAACGTCACTCTCTGTTTTACCTTCTCTTAAGGAAAAGCAAATTGAAAATCATCAAATACTAAAAGAAAATATCGAATTAAAATCACAAATGGACAACAAATCGAAATTAAACCAGTTAGAAGCTGTAAGATTATATAAGCGCGAACTAGAAATCCAAAGATATAATATGTTACGTAATCATTATATGGATCAGCAGAAATCTGACTGTGAGTCACAAACATCTGTTAACCCACTTCAGCAAAATGAACATACTTTACATCCAGATTCACGTTCGTCTTCCAGAAAGCTGAGTCCATTAAATGAGGCAAGCAAACTATCTTCTGTTATAAATTCTCCCAAGAATGACCTTCATAAGTTTATATCAAGGTCGATATCTAGCACTAGTCCTAAACCAGTCTCTAAAGACTTGATGTCCTCACACAGTAAGGATCACAACAATTCCTCTTCAAGTAGTAGTAGTATCGGAAATGCAAAAAAAGACAACATGAATTCCAATCCAGGGAAATATCATGAAACACCTGAAATTAAAAGTGAAAAGAAGAACAATCCAGAGGGACAAAAGCCAACAATGGAAACTACTGGACCACCTCCACCTCCAACTAATAGTTATGGCTACTTGCACCCCTCTTATCTTGAGCCTCCACATTTTGGACATATGCCTTTTGAGGGACATCCCATGTACAGAACTGGACTCAATCCTATGTTAATGTCTTCTGGAGCACCATATGGTAATCCATCGTACTTGCATCCCCAACTTCGTTATCATGTTTCTCCAGGACCTTGTGATATTCCACCTCACTCTCAAGCTTCACCAGCTACTATGGTACCAAAAGTATCATCTAATGCACCAAAAGCTTTGGACCTGTTACATCAAGTATCTCAGCATTATTCTTCCCACAAAATCCACGAACTTCAAGATAGAGCTATGATTTCACCAGGCCCCATTTCAACACCATCAAGTACTATTGCGTCAGCGAGTTCCAGTAAACCATCTTCGGACACCACCACAACTACTTCCAAACAAGAAACCAGTTCGTCAGGGGACAGATCACATCTACCTCCACCGCAGCGCCACCTTCACACGCACCATCACACCCATGTAGGAGTGGGTTATCCACTCTATGACCCTTATGGTGGTAAGTATATAGTACATACTTACCTTTACAAAAATCCATAAAAATTTTAACTGAGTGTGAAAATAGTAGGCTATCTTTTCTGTATTTTCATCTATTAATCAAACATGATTTATATTAACTATGTTTTCCAGAATGCAAGATGCATGAAAAAGAAGTCCTGTGTAGATTTTGTTTTCTGCAATATATATATATATATATACACAAGACGCTTCCGAACAGTAGTCAATGAACATCATCTGATATTTTGTAACTTTCAGGCCCTTAATTTGTTTTTACATGTGGAAGCGTTACTTTCGTTACAGCTTGTGGAATACTTGAGATTATAAGAATTGTTCTACGCACATGAAACTTCATAGCCATACGTTAAAACTAACGTAGTTTATCGTGTAAACTTTTGACATGGCGTAACTACGTAATGTGAAATTCGTAGTCAAAACAATTTTGTCACGATATTTCATATGGTAGAAACAGATGAAATCCAATATATGGCTGATTATAACCATTGTATAAAACGTATTTTTATGATGTTGTCTAAAACACATGATGAAACTTAAGCGGATCGTGATATCAATTATTAATAACTTCTGATCCAAGATAAATGAATTGTATAGGACGGAATCAAACATTAGTCCATATATCAATGAAACTATAACAATTAGAATGCATTTAAACATTATTTGGATACCCTTATTACCAAAGGTAATTGCGGCCATAAAATTAAAATACGCTTATCGTAATTAAATAGATGTACAATTTGAATAATTTTTTGAGCGGCATATTGTATATCCAGCTCTGCCTGACAGATCCGGTGAAAGTCTACAAGTAAAAGTGCCTCTCGGTCCATAATGGGCTTTCTTTTTCAAGCTCTTGTAATACACTTTAAATGTATTACCTTAAAGGTATTGCAAGTTATATTAATGAGACTGCACTCCTCCACTTTTTTTTTCTCTTGAAAACTCGAACAACTTTACTAAAAATGAACAAAATCTCTGCAAGGATTTTCAGTAGCTTTCATTCTCCAAGAAAATTGTTGTAAGACAGGGAAAGTGGATCGAAAGTGAGGAGATGGCAAAACGGTCCATTTCACAGTAGAGATGTGGTCAAGATTTATACTCTCTGAATTTGATACATTTAATGCATTAAATTTAATAATAATCTTGAATTCTGCTTCTGTGCAAATCCAGATGAAAGAAATAATTATGAAATACTCCTCTAATTAAGATTTAAGCACTTATTCTAATACTAATGTAAACCGGAGGCTAAATGTTGTGAATCAGAAAAGAGCAGAAGACGTAAACAGCAGCAATACCTTTATTCTCTGCATTGTAGCTTTAGATTTTATTCCTGTATATCTTGGTTATTATGGGAAATAAGCCAAAATGCTGAAAATTTTATTTACAATCTTTGACTTGTAGAATGTTTTTGTTGTGATATGAGTTTTGTTCAAACTCAACTATTTACAATAGCTGCTGTAGTAACGATATATGGGTTATTCTATGAAATATCTTTATTTTTCAATAAATAGGAAAGTTTAATATAAGTTTGATTTGCTTTTGGACTACTAAGCATGCCAAGTTTGGTCTGGATCTGTCAACTCGTTTAGGAGGAGATGCATCCACAGTCAGACAGAAAGTTTTATTTTATATTGGATACTTACCGCACCGGTATAGCTTAATACGTTTAGCACATATGTGAAGAACGCCTGTACCCCGAGTTTTATACTCGTTTCTGCTGAGCTTCTTGAAAATTGCTCCTATAAATGTTTTTTTTTAACAATAAGACAATAGTCCTAAGTGCAGACCAACATGGTTAGGATGCTCGACTAGCAATCTGCGGGTCACGGTTTTGAATCCCCATCCCACTAAACATGCTTGCCCTTTCAGCCGTGGGGGCGTTATAATGTAACGGAAAATGCCACTATTCGTTGCTAAAAGAGTTGCCCAAGAATTGGCGGTGGGTGGTGATGACTAGCTGCTTTCCCTTTAAATTCGGTGACGAGGAACCACTTTGAGACTAATAATGGCTGGAGACGGCTTGAATGTACCTGATGATGACAAAACCTTGTCGAAACGTTGTACATTTGCTGTTAAGTTAAACTTATATTAAAGTTTTTCTTCATTACCCATTCATGCCTTCCCTTTAGTCTTTCACTGCTAAATTAGGGACGGCTAGCGCAGATAGTCCACGTGTAGCTTTGCGCGAAATTTAAAACAACCAAACCACAAAATTATCAGTCTGATATTAAATAACGGAACATAGCAAATTTTTATTGTTAAATTTAGTGTTAACTTGGAAAGTATTTTTATTACACAAAACTGATTGTGAGCCTTTGTAGGAATGTTTACAATATTTATATTTTAGGAGAGCAAAAAACGGTATGTTAATAATGATGTTATTCAAAGACTTCTAGATTTTTGTTATTGTTCTTAATATTGCTGTTAACTGGATACTTGGACCAGTATAATTTAACAAGTATTAATTAGGATACTTGGACCAGTATAATTTAACAAGTATTGATTAGGATACTTGGACCAGTATAATTTAACAAGTATTGATTAGGATACTTGGACCAGTATAATTTAACAAGTATTGATTAGGATACTTGGACCAGTATAATTTAACAAGTATTGATTAGGATACTTGGACCAGTATAATTTAACAAGTATTGATTATAACAAATATAGCTTTTATTATTCTAACACTACAATTTACGCTAATTCGTAAACAAATTTTAAAAACTTTTTTTGTCATTTTCCTGTGTATAACTTTCATTTGAACAGTTTATGCTAATAATTCAATAAGTCCTTGCTGCAGTAATACTGCATTTTTTCACGTAAAAATATTGGTTTTAAGAAAACATCGAAACTTAAAAGTAATTTCTTGTTACCAGTCGTTTACAGCATCAAAACAATTTTTTTTTGTAAGACTTGTACAATGGGTTGACATTCGAACAAATTTATGATGGTAGTACTAAAATAAAGAGATCCTAGAATAGAGATTCCATTTAAGTATTTTACAGTTTGTAATGATTTTATGCTTATTTAGGAGTGATTCGCAGTAGTAAAGCTTATGGGTTGAGGCGAGATTTAGTATATTTTAAGATTTAGTTAATGATACCTGTTATTGGAATGTATCTCAACAGTGTGGTGCTGTACTGATTCTATAGTTTATTTTCTGACCTTTTATAGCAAATGAACGTTACTTGTATGATTATTGTTTGGTATAGTTCCTCACATTTCAATATTAATGAAAGAAGCGGAATAATCCAATTTCTGAATATCGATGATCAGAAGTATCATAAATAATTGTTTTTAAGAAAATGTGAAACAAAATAAGTTTTTCTTTTTTTTGTTCGGAGCGTTTCATAAACATTCTTGAAACGTTAAGCTTTCTTAACATATAATGATTATATTTGTTTGATATTTTTGCAGCATTGATTGCCTCACAGCATGCAGCGGCTAGCAGTGTTCATGCTTTTTCTCCGTCTAAATGAAACCTTGTCTTGGGATACAGAACTGTTGTTCAACATAAGTGAACAGATGTGTTGGTTATCAGAAACGTTTCTCGAAACACTTAGCTTTTTCTCTATATAAAAGACTTTTGTATGAACTTAGAAGTAAACCAGTATAAAAGTGGATAATTCCATCGCTTTTCAGCATGCTTCTGGATGACGTTGACAACTGAATAGTGTTTACTAATCCCTGGTGGTCACAGAAAGCTTCGATATGTCGACGTTCTGGTATTTCATTCCCGGGAAAGACTGCCTTCATGTGTAGCTCAATGTAGCCTGCTTCAAGGATCAGAACTGAAAGAATATTCCCTGCTGTACATCGCATCATCACCTTACTAGCCTAAGAAAACAAAAAATGGTTAAAAGTTACATTCAGATTTAGTAGTGTACCATATTTAATTACGTTTAAAAACTGTAAAGTCGGTGAGTCATGAGATGAGAGTATCTTCTTGACCAACAAAGTTTTGTTTTTTTCAACGTACATTTTCATACTTGAGATTATTATTCATGGGTGTATAAAACATAAAGAGAACTTTAGGAGAATAGTGTGTCTACTGTAAGATAGTGTGTGCGTATCTATATACATGCACATTTTCATTAATATAGGCTTAAGTCTGGTGTTGTCTGTAAATAGTTACTGTTCTAGAGAAAAGGTGCTAGATACGTTGTTTATGATCAACAGCTTATATCATGGTTGATAATCTATATATCTTGCAACATGGCAACATCTAGTTGTGAATGTACAGTGGGTGTCACACATTATGTAAGTGCACGTAAAAGTGTTGTAAAAATATAAATATATATAACGATAGCCTTTTTATTTGGGTATATTATTGTGTCAGATACACTGCCAATGTTTGATTTAAAGAAGGCTTGAGTCATTTGTAAAGCTAGTTTTGTGTATAAAAAGTAACGCACATCAAATCGTTTTTAATCATATGAGGTGAAAGTATGAAAGTATTACTTATTTTTCAGTTTTCCCACAATTCTAGTGATCATAATTATACATTAACGTACTTTATTTCAAGAAGATTTAACGAAACTGAAAAGCGATGAGTGATTTTTGTTAATGCAGAAACAAAGTCATTTAAATAATTTGCTTCCTTGTGCCAAATGTTGCAAGATTTATTCTTTTTTTTTTTTTTTTGGTTAAAGCAAAACTTTGAGATGTTTTATGTGCCAAACTCTGAGCATAATTTCATTTTAATGTTTTTTGGGTTCCAGTTTTTATTCGTTAAAAAAAATTAAGTTTTTGTATGAAAAATATGCATCGTAAACGTGAAAAAGAACTTTCAACAGAAGTTGTTGATAGTTATAATAATCCAAGTTAAATTTTACACGTTTTAGTTTGACCATGTAAAAAAACGTACTGTCTTTTTTTTAATATGATAATTGTAAAAAATTATTTAATATTGTTATTATGTACATGTATAAATTTGTTCGTGGTACCATTTCCTACTTTACTCTTTATTCTGTTAGTTTCAGTACTAATGTGCATGTTACAGCCATGAACCATTTGGAATTATTCATAAGTATACTTCGTTTATTTCATTTGCAAGATTTCCTGTTTATTAACGCGAAGTTTATCGAGTTAAATGTGTGATACTAATAAGCAAACGAGTACTGTGGAAGTCCCTGAAAAGTTTAACTGACGACGGAGAGGGAATTTTGTATTTGTTATTGCCTGCCCAAAAATATAATTATGTAAAACTTAAGAATGGTTGATTTTTTTTTCTATAGCACACATGTTGAATAGTGAACTTATCTTTTATATAAGATAGTTTGTCTTTACATCCACCTTTTGGAGAATATGATCACTGTATTTGAATGTGTTTGTGTGTATAAAGTTTTTAATTTTTATTCATATACTTTTCAGGTAAGTGGTGGTAGAGCATTTTCTGTATGTTTTGATTGGCGTTTCACATTTAACGTTTCTGACAAGTCACCTTATTGTACAGAATAGTACTTTGTAAACATGTAAGAATACTGTATCATGTATATAATGTAGTTTTTAAAGATTCTTTCTTTGAAAAAAAGTAATTTCTTTCTCGCTGGTGTTCAGATACTGTGTTTTTATGGAACAGAAGTAAAAAGCTTTTAGCACCAAATGAACGATTTTCTGATTTATAAACCATCTTAACCTTTACACATTAGTATTTTAGAACAAGTTGGTTAACATAACTTAGTCACATATAAGCTAATATTTTTTTAAAGATTCATAAACTTTTTTTTCAAAACACCGGTAAAACGCTTGATAATATATTCAGAATGTAATTTACTTTAAAGAAAAATATTACAATATTTATATCCTTTATGTGAACAAATTCAATTAGTTTTTATTAACTTTTTAAACTCATCATTATGTTAACGAGTTTTTTTCACGAATATTTTTAATGCTGGGAAGAATATTTTAATGTAAAACAGGGACAGAACAATAGAAGAAATAACAGTACTAAAATATTAAAGTTTATTTTAGAAATTGCCTTGTAGCAAGAGCAGCTCAATTTTCAAATACTAAAACGCTTCTTCGAATGAAATTTACAATATACGACTTTAACATATTTTAGTTTTTTACTAATATTACTAACATAAAAATTCACTTTTGAGACAGTTTAAAAATTAAGCAACTGTTTAAAAACATGTAATTACCTTAGCTAAATGCATTATAATTCATATTTTTGACGTCAGTCTGACCGTTAATAGAAAATACTCCATGGAATAATAAATTATCGATGTAATAACACATTAACTTATAGATATGGAAATAACTTAAAAATTTACAGATACAGTCATTTCGCAGAGTTATAGCATTAGAAATGGATAGGTCTATACATCGCAATATCATCATGCAAACACTGATTAATTATTTTGACATGCAAATATATTCATTTGATTTTGGGTTATTTCTAATTGTCATACTCAATTCGATTATCGTTTGCGTTAAATCAAAAATAATTTTGTCTTCTAAATTAATTATGTCGAAATATTTTCAGGATCTTATATGTTCGTTAGATGTAAATTGCAAAATTTATTAGTGTGAATTTTGAAAAACATGCACAAAAGAAAAAAGTTTTCATTTTTCGATCGCTCGTTCACTTTATTTAGTTAACGAGTCAATATTGACGGGCCTAACTAAAGTGATTGCATATTTTTCTGATTATCTATCAGGTTAGTTAGAACCTTCCTTCCTTTGTTGTTTCATAATATTTTTGCCTATGTATATACACGAGTATAAAATTGCAACCAATTATAATATCTTACTTGTTTGTAAGCTATTGTCATGTTTGCATTTGAAAGTGGTATATGAAGTCATTTCAGCCAAGTCTAAAATCAGCACAGAAATTTGATCATCTGGTGGCATAGATGATTATCATTCCAGTATTCGAATATCTTAACTAACTCGAAACGGGTGGTTCAGCTGCATGTTTACGGGCTTTATAACGCTAAGTCCAGAGTTCGATTCCCTGTGTAGATAGAGCATTGTGTTGCCTTGCCACCTGAATGATAAGTGTCTACTCTTATCAGGGAAGATTCGCGTATCTGATCTTCTACATTGTCGAGCTTACTTTCCATGTTTCTTATGTCGATAATTTCCAAACTGTTTATTGTTTTATTGTAAAACTTCCTATTTTCGCCTGTTTCATGTTCCATAAAACTAATACATTTGTAATTTCACGGCATACTCGCTGTATTACAGTTAAAACAAATGTTTTACGTTACACTTGTTTTTACAATCAGTATTTGTTTTTCAAGCCTTGATTCTATTATGTATATTGCGTATAACGCTAAAAATTGGGTTTCAATACACGCAGGGAGTAGAGTACTTGTAGTTCTTTCTTTAGTTTTGTGCCCAACAAGCAAATCACGTATACTGAACATTGCATATTTCAGTCTACGTTAAAATACTTTCAAATTGCAAATTTACACATGGATCTTGAGACCTTACGCTAGAACTTAGTTTTGATCCCCTGTGTAGAGGGAAAAAACATTCTTGTCGGGACAAGTGGTGTGAGAAATTGGTTTTATATTATAATACAGTAGTTAATGACATGCAAAAATGTATTACTATGCGTGTTTCCTCGAAACGCATATAGTTTTTAAGTATTTACAAACATAAACATTATGCTGTACTACTGTACTTTTTCCCGTGCTTTGTGGGCTTAGGCATTCTACACTGACATAAACTCATTTAACCTAAATTTTCATCGTTACCCTGATCAGTTCATTCAGTCATTAAATATTCAACATCCTGGTACAATGAATTACCTGTCAGTCTCAGCATCCTGCTTGATTTTGGTTTAAGCACCAGGTTTCAGGGTATACTCTATGTAATCAATGACATGGTTAATATGCATTTATTATTGCATTTAGTACTTCAATTCATTTATTAATAAATTAAGCTCCAGTTTCTTTAAAGCGTGTTAATCATATGTAAATCTTGTAATTGAAAGTATTTTGAACATCCCTGACACCCAAAGTCAACCTTAAGTATGCGACAAAGGAGATCCGAAGCAATGTTGTAGTTTTTGTGAAATGCCCAGCCTATGAATTAAAGAGAAAAGGTAGCATTTGCATAAATGTTTGTTGCCACTGGCAGTGTTTGGTTGAATGTGGTGTAGATGTTTCATAAAATATATAGCATAGACGTTATTTGGTGCAAGTTTTGAACTTCAATGCTGGAGTCTTCATCAGGCACAATTTACTGCGACAGACTGACAAGTGTGCACGTTTTTATGGAACTTTGCCCAATAGCTTCGTCTTTGTTATTTCATAAGTTATAGGTTCTCAATGCCTTAATTTGAGGAATACCCTGATCTTTACAAAAATTAGAGATAAAAGTATGAGTTTATTTATTCACGTATACTTTATCAGCTTTTAATGTAAAATAGTTAAAATAAAAGCGAAGTGTTAAGTTTACACATGGCTGAACAGTAAAAACTTTGGTCATTTATTTACCTCGACGTCGAAATGATATACTTTCGCTTTAAAATACCAGATTACATATTCCAATACCTATGTAACTACCAATTGATGATGTACTTACCAACGACATAGCTCAAATACTGCTCTTAGGATCACGAATGTTTTAACGTTTATATTACGTCTTTAACCAGGAACGCCGTTAGGAGGGTAGAGGAACCAGGCTGTTGTCGACCCCAGGTTCTACGAGGGGGTGGGGGCCGACCGTGTGGTTTCTGGGGTAGTCGTAAGAGATTCGTGGAGATTTGCAACACGCAACAGATTCAGGTTCGGTTCTGAACTAACACGCAAAGATCAATAATTAATGGAGAATTTATCATTCATTCATTTTGGAATAATAGCATGTTATAAATATATATTGAGCTATCAGTGCCCTTAGATCATATAACAGAAACGAGGGTTGTGAGTCTATATAATGAAGCATATGCTGAATGCTCATATTTATAACTTGGAAAAACGTGATTCTTATAGGTCCTGTATTTTTAAACAACTACTAAAAGTATCTTTTATTCATGGGTTACTACGTCAAGTTTTCTTTAAAAACAACTAGAAGAGTGTTCACACAGCATATCAGATCACTCTGCCCTCACTGGATTGTGAGGAGGGGGGCTTTTCTAAGGACTCTTCCTTGGTCCCAAACTTCTTTGACACTGACCTCTAATATGCGTGATATAATGCCCAGAAGTCACTAATGACGATTTTTTATTGTTGTATTATTCTATCAGCTAAATAACAATTTTTATTGGAATTTTATGATTTTCCTGTTAGCTAAAGTATGGGACACATATATTAAACATATAAATAATAGCAAAATAAATGAGCCATTCATTAAACAAGGATTTTAGAAGTTTGGCCTATGCAATGCCAGCTTAGAAAAGAACGTAACAAGAAGCTGACATAACACTGACAACAGTTTAGAGCCTGCAATACATTTCTTATAAAAGAAAATGCACCTAAAATTGTAAATTCTTTAAATAATAAGTGAAGCAGTAATTCAAGTAATGTGAAATCAGATCTATATTTTTAGTGAAATCAGCTTTTAATGAATAAGGAAAATGCTGTGCCAAAACAAAATAAACTTTACACGGTCGTTTAAATATAGCAGATAACATCAAACACAGTGAGTTGTATGTTGGTGATTCTTCTTCAGGATACAGAGAGAGATGAGGTTGGGTTATATTATTTACTCGCTTTATAAGTACTCTTTAAGTATATTAAACGAAACTGCTAAGTTAAAAAATAATTGATAGTTCGCAACACTGCTATATTGTCCAAAAATAAAACAAAAAAGTTGATTGATTGATCAGCTTGAGAAGAATATAATAATATATATAATATTTAATAATATACATAGAGCTGACATTCCGAGAAGCCCTCCAAGACACTGCATTTATGACATATTATTAACAGGAAATATATAACTTTAACTCGAAAACATTAAAATTAACGTCTATTGCTAGAGTTAAGTTATCTTTAGAAGTCCACCGTTTACCATTTCAAACTAATATCTTAAGAATATTACACCTTTCTAGTTGCCGCTAATTTTAGGCTGTCTCTGTATTCTATTCGGTCTGTTGGGCCTTAAATACCACAAAAATGACTTTCTCTGGTCATTATCCTAACATTCTTATGAGAGTACAGAGTTGTTATTAACATGTAATTTGTACTTACCTGCGTGGTGTAATTTGAAGGGTTGGCAATTTGTTTTACTCTATTGTATATAAAGTTCAAGTAATTATTTACCATAATACAATAGAATGTAGTTAGTTTTGCTTGTTTGTTGTTAAGCACAAAGCTACACAATGGGCTATCTGTGCTGTTCTCACCACTGGTATTGAAAACCGATGTTTAGTGTCGTGAGTTCTGAGACTTAACGCTGAATCACTGAGGAGCAAAGCGTAGTTCAGTTTAGTTTTAGTTTCAGTGTAGTCTTAGTACAGTTGTGCTCAGTTCTGTCCATTTAATCCGACTTAGTTCTTGTATTTTATTTCATTACATTCAGTATTTATGCCACTGACCCAGAAGACAGTACAGCACAAGTCAGCATAAATAAATAAATAAAGTGTTTTCTGAGTTATTTTCGTCCGTGAACTTCGGCTTTAATGCCTTTCTTTGAATCAAGTCTTTCCTTCCCAGTGCCCAGCCACATAAATGATTTACCACCTAAGATACATTTAACATAATTTGATCTGCTAATTAAGTCCTCTTAAACCGCCTGTTGTTGCAAATTTAACCTATCTGTATACATATATATATATATTCATTTTTAATCAA